TCATTTTGCACACCAAAATACGTAAATGCCAAACTGTTTACAAATGTTCATGTGTTTGCCTTTTCCTCTTTGCAGAACCACTCTGCCTCTATGACTGAAGTAACCTGAGATGGGAGATTGGCAGCCGGAGCTATTTTTTACTACCCTCCCGTACAATAGTCCAAGACACACAGTTACTAAATGTCTAACTGTGATGACCAGTATTATGTTATGTCTAGTTAGAGGCTAATGTTTTGTACTTTTTTTGTATGAGGAAGTGATGTAGCTTGCCCTGATTTTTTGTCAGCTTTAATATTATTATGCCAGACTTTAAAAGCAAAATGGAAAAAGAACAAAAAAAAAAACCTTTTCTTGTTTAAAGTGTGCACTGAGGAACTACATCTATGGAACTGTTGATGTTGTTATGTGATATTTGTACACTTTTTTTTTTCTTTTCAGTTTTGAATTTATATATCTTGAAAAAAGAAACATTCACTTTTACCTTTTCTTACCGTAAGAAGTGCTTCTACCACTGAGTCAGATTCTGATCTCAGTAAGATCAGCATAAATCTGAAGTAATCTCATATATTTAATTCATATTAAAATAATGGTGATCAGGAATCTAACCTGAATGATACTATTAACAAATAGCAAAAATCCATCCTTGATTCAGCGGGCTACTTAAGTGTTCCCTAGGGATGCAGTTTAGCCATCCAGTTTCCAGACTACTTGGCAGACTTGAAGCATGTTCTTAAGCACCTCACTGAATCAAAGCCTGATTGTTCTGGTGTGGGTGATTGTGCTGGTTATTGAAGAATAACTAAAACAACATCCTCAGTCTGCAGTATAGACAGACTGGACATGAAAATTTATAGTAGTAGCTGATAGCATGTGAGCTGACTATATCATCTCCCTAGATCCTCATTCCTCCCCCAGGCCCAGCCGAAGCTCCCTGTGAAACCTGGCTTCAGGAATTGACTATGGGGATATACAGCCACCACTGTGGAGCTGAGGCTGCGCTCTGAGTGTTTCATCACTTCATCATAGATTTGTGGGGTAACTAGTGACACTGTTGCAAAGGAAAAGTGACACCACTTCTCCAGTGGGGAGGCATTCCCTGGCATTCCAGTTGGCATAAGAAAGGAGCCAGTTTGGCCCCCCAAAGTGTATTTTTTCCCTGAGGGGCTTTGGCAAGTAAAAAAAAAAAAATAATTAAACAAAAGAAAATTAAAAGCTGACAGCCTGTAGTAGCAGTCTGCATTTTTGTAAATTCTGCCGTACAGAATTTATATCAAAACTGCTATTTTACAATTTAACAACTTTGTCTAAGGACTTTAAAGACAATTAATTAAGTATGGGTTTGGGGTGGGAGGGGAAGAACAAAAAAAGCCCATTTACAATGGCTAGAATTGGGGCAAAGGCTTCATTACATGATTTTTCACTGTTTCTAGGATTTTCCTGCATCTCATTCTTTTAGCATGGTGATAACTGCTGTGTGTCTCCTTTAAAGAATGGAGCCTCTGTCTGTACTTCTACTGGAATGTTTACCTCACATTTCCATGTTGGTTCTTCTTGGCTTTTTTTTGTATATTTTTTCCAAAACAGAAGCGAAAAAAAAATTATCAAAAAAGCAAACACGTAGCCTGGTCTCTGTCATTTGCCTGGGATACAAAGAAAATCTGGGATGTCTATTTCTGTCTGGTCTTGCAGAGTTTCTTCCAGGTTGGTATTTTCTTCTGACTCTACAGATGTCTGCTTCAGGCTTAGGAATATAAGGATCAGACCTGGGCTGTGAAGGATTTCTGTGACCATGAGGAGCCGTTGATAAGTTTCTGGGTCCCTCACTACAACTTTGATCAAAATTCCAGGGGAAAAACCTGTTCTGAAGCAGCCAAGATGACACAGATGTAGCCATTTGTCACACTGTGGTTTCCCATAAGCTGCAGGGGAGGGATTTGGGAACCTTCAGCCTTCCACAGTGACCAGCGAAACATCCCCAGCTCCCTCACATTCATCCCACAATGGAACATGTAACACTAGACTTTTACTATTCTGTAGTTCCCCAAAAGCCAAAAGGAGAAAAGAATGGGTTTCTTAAATTTCTTCAGAGCTATGAGAAGAAGGAGCACTTGAGAAGTTTGCTCAGTCAAGAAACTGAGCGCTGTGACACACAAAAGCAGCAGTGCCTCAGTGTACTTGGGGTGTCTGCTGAAAGAAACTGGGAGAGCAAGGGTTGAGGGCAGTGAGTGGTGTAACCAGGACATTTCTGGATTGTTCCCAGAAAAAAAAATTTTAAAAATCACACATTGACTCTAGCCTCACTAGAAACAACCTGTTTCAAAATTCATGAAGTACCACAGATTTCTCAGACTGTTGAATTTATTTGTTTTCCTCACTTCTCTGCTTGCCGCCTCTGACTAAAAGCAGACCTGCATCATCAGTTAGATGGGAAGGAAAACTGAACATACAAGTAACATGTAAAAAACCTAACAGCTATTAGAAGTAGACACAAAAATTTAAAAATAGTGTTTCTACAGACACCGAATAATTCAAGAAGTGTCTTTGATGGCTAGTGTTTTTATAGGGCTGTTGGAGAGTTCACCATTACTGAGTTAAGAGATCTCACAATTTTACTTGGCCCTATTTTCATGTAGCAATTTGAGCAGCACAAGCAATTTCACTTTAAGATGACACCTCTAATAGCTTTTACAAACCTTACTGCTGACAGGGTCTTATTTTCAATCTCAAGGACAAAAAAAAAAAAAAGGATGGCTCACCTTCCCCCAGCTTTGTCAGCCTTGCTGGTCATGGTGGCAGAGCTGAATGTGGTTCCTGACACAGCCCAAATGCACACACAAAACCCCATCACATAGTGCAGAAGTGAAGACAAGTTTAGGAGGTTGTCCTGATCCAACCCCAGCCAGCCCAGCCCCAGTCAGCTCTTTGCTTACTCCCCCACCAGTGCAATCAGGGAGAGAAATGGAAGGGTAAAAGCTGGGAAACTTGTGGGTTGAGGTGAAGACACTTTAATAGGTAAGAGAAAAGCCACACACAGAAGCAGAGCAAAATAAATTCTCTGCTTCCCATGGGCAGGCAAGTATTCAGCCATTTCCAGGACAGCAGAGCCTATCACATGTAGTGGTTACTTGGGAAGACAAACCCCATCACTCCAAACATCCCTCCCTTCCTTTTCTCTCCCACTTTATGCACTGAGCATGTCATACAGTCTGGAATATCCCTTTGGCCACTTGGATCATCTGTCCTGGCTGTCTCCTCCCAACCTCCCATGAACCCCCAGCCTCCTTCCCAGTGTGGAAAACAAAAAAGTACCGTGTCTGTACAAGCCTTGCTCAGCAATAACAAAAACATCTTTGTATTATCAACCCTGTGTTCAGCATCAGCACAAATGCGAAACACAGCCCCACACCAACCACTGGGAAGAAAGGTACCTCTACCCCAGCCAAAACCAAGACAGGGACTGTGGAGTTGATCCCCCCCCAATTATCCCCAGTGGAGCCAGAGAGATGTTAGGGAGCAGCCGTCAGTGCCACACCCCTGGTCTGCGGGGAAAAAAGGGCAGAACAGACAACAGTGAAAAAGCCGAGCACGACTCAGAGAACTTTTATTAGTGAAATTCACACATTTCAGCGCGAGGAGGGGGCTCTGCTGCTGCTTCGCAGGAAAGCTCTGTGGTGGGATCACTGCTTCCAGATGATCTTCAGGTTCGGCGGCAGCTCTGCGGCCGCGAGTTCATCAAACTTGGTCACATCCTTCACGGGGGTGCGGTAAAAACCCAGCACGTCCCCGGCGCAGCGCATCAGGTGGAGCTGGGAATTGGGCACGGGGTGTCCCAGCTCCACCGCCAGCCGCGCCAGCAGTTGGAACTTCAGCCTGTTCTCCTGCAGGGGCGTCTGCTCCCAGTCCTGGGGGAGGGACGACCCAAAAACCTCTCTGACGTGGGACTCGAGGCGGACCTGCAGGTCCTGCGGGGGGAGGTAACTCCGGCTGCGCGGCGGGGGGCACAGCAGGCTGGGCTCGCTCCTCTCCTCCTTCTCAGGGATCCCCTTTTCCACTTCCACTTCTTTGTCCTCCTTCCTGCTGGCACCAGAAAAGAAGCGTTTTCAAACTCCGGGCTGGCTCAGAGCGAGTTTCTGTTCAAGGTGTTTTAAAGCAGGTTCGAACCAGACAGTTCACACAGCAGGTCCCTTATCCGTGAGGAACAAAGGCAGACAGGGTCTGGCGGTTTTCCCCAAAGGCTCCCTCTGCAGAGCCACCACTCGCCCTCCCACCTCATCTCACTGAGTGGAAACACTTTAACCAGAGTAATCACTTGTCTTCCCAGTTACAGCTGCGTTTTCTAATCTGATGCGGCATTTAAAAAAAATAAAGAGTAAAAAAAAAGGGATAAGAGAAAATAACCACTACAGAAAAAAAAATCAGTGCCCACGTAAAAAAAAAAATCACTAGTTTTAACCACAAAACTTGACTTGCTCATATGCCACACTCTAGTCAACAACCTACGCATGGTCTCACCTAAAATGCTGTACAGAAACTACCATTTTACATCCCTCCTCTCCCACCCCCAACAAAAAGCAGGTCATAGCACTAAAGACTCCAGCCCTGCACCACCACCACCACCCCCACCCCGCCCCGCCCGCCCTCCAGCAGTGCGCCTCGATGGGCGCTTGATTCCCACAGAACCTGCTGGATCTCCTTCCTTAAAAATATCCCGGAGCCGCCTGGACACAACCCCGAGGGACGCACTCTGGGCCCACTTCCACGGCCCGCGGGAGATTCAGACGCCACCCCCTGGTGCCCCGCGGTACCTGCGGCCACCCCAGAAGGCCCTGAGCCCCGCAGGCCCCAGTCCGGGCCGCCCCGGCCCCGCCGCCCTCAGCACCCGCACCGCCGCCATGCTCCTTCCCGGCGCCGCCGCAGTGACGAACTTCCACCGCGCCCCGCAAAGCCTCACGGGAAATGTAGTCCCTTGGCCGCCCCTCAGCGTAGGGTCTCGGCTCCCTCCGGGAAAAGGCTGCCGGGAGATCTTTCTGCGGCCTTCCAGGGTGTCCTGTGGGCTTGGAACAAAGGAGAGGGGAGTTTTACACGAGCAGGTCGTGACAGAAAAAGGGGGGACGGTTTTAAACTAAAAGAGGGGAGATTAGGAAGGAATTCTTCCCTGTGAGACTGGTGAGGCGCTAGCACAGGGGGCCCATAGAGCTGTGGGTGTCCCTTCACTGGAAGTGTCAGCGGACAGGTCGGGGCAGCCTGGTCTAGTGGAAGGTGTCCCTGCCCATGGCAGAGGGGTTTGATCTGGATCTGGTAGGAAGAATACGATCTTTAAGGTCATTTCCAGCACGAACTGTTCCGTGGTTGATCCCGTGATGCACGGATCAGAGGATCAGCAGGATACTGCTCATGGGGAGCAGAGGTTTTACTGAGATTGGGGGTGTGAAGGCACAACCACAGCCGAGCCAGGAAAGGGGTGTCATTCCTGATGCTGGTATTGACCTTTGGGGAGTTTTGTTGGCAAGTTTTTGCTCTTTATTCACTGTCAGGACAGTCTAAATCAAGCATTAATCACTCAGTGGTTGTATCCACATGAAAGAGTTTGGCTGTTTAGTGCCCCTGTGACAGGTTACTGACACAGAGGACAGGAGGAGGTGGTTACAGGACAGTGATTTTTACATGTTTTCCCAGTTGTTGGCAGGAGCAGGGAGTGCCTGTGGCTGGGAGGAGCAGCCAGCAGAGCAGGATGACCCTAGAGGGTCAGGAGCTCCTCTGGGAAACTGGCCCTGGATGTCTGGGGTGCTGCTCCAAGACCTCACTGTTGATAGGTGTAGTGTGCAGCTAGGAAAATACTCTTGTATAACCTTGGTCTGCTGTTTTTGCCACTTATGCCTTTTTATTTTTTTTCATTACAACTGTCTAATTGTACTTTAGCTCACAAATCTTATATCTTTAACAGGGACACAGCAACAGGCCAAAGGTCAAACAGTGGGCCTGCAACGTCAGCCTGATTATCCAAGCTACACCAACAGAGCAGACCAAGATGCCTTCCTGCATGTTTGATGTTAATTAGTGTGACAAATGCCACTGGAAGAACAGCCCTGACCCAACCTGTGCAACCCTGGTGCAGCCTCATCCCACCAACCAGGACTTTCCAAGGACACAAGAAGCTTCTGAAGGTAGAGCTGTTTGTCTGTGGCCTGAGTCCCTTGTACACCTCTCAAGTTTTTTTGTGCCTTTGTTCATCAGGATTAACCTCTCCAACTGTGTCACTATTGGATTATTCTCCTTTGATATCCTCTGGGTTTCCCAAGCTAACCAGCTGTAACACTTTTTTTTTAATCTTTGCAAAGACACAATATGTGTGACAAACACTATGAAGTTTATACAACAACAACAAAAAAAGAACTGTGAGGTAGAGATTAGTTTTTCAATTACTGTTTTATTGCCATGATTGAATACAGAGTCAGGTTTTATAATTCAAGATTTTGGCTGCAAAATGTGGTAATGGGCAAGGGTATGTGTTTGAATTGCCAGGGAACTACTTAATTTGCCTATTATTGCAGGGACTGAGTTTCAGACTAGGGGAGAGTGAGTTCATGATTCATTGGCAGCTGTTGTTTGCTGTTTGGAAAGAATTCCCTTTCCTTGGAATGTGCAAACGAAACAAGAATATCCCCTTGGTAAATTGTGGGAGTGAAGGGTGGAGAGAAAGCTTATCCATTTTATCTCCAGCTTGGTGTAGGGTAAAGGGAAATTAGATTTCTATGTTTTTCTTTTATTTCTGAACAGCTTCTCCCTTGTGAGAAGGGACAGGAGGAAGGAAGGCTCCTGCACTTTCAGTAGGTGTAGCTGGCAGTGAAAAGTGATTGTGTGGCAGCTGTGTCAGTCTTCCCAGACAGGACATACTGCCCCCTGCAAGCCAAACTGTTAATCTGAAAGAGAAAGCAAAAGGATGGGGAAAACAGTCAGCGTGAGGTAAGAACAGCAGGTGGGCAAAGAGTAACCAGCAGGAGTAACCAAGGAAGAAATAACCAAGTAATTAACCAAGGCAGAAACAATGCCTGGTGAACCTGAAGCACCAGGAGGGGGGGGATCAAGGGGACCCTTTGGAAGGTGACAGCAGGTCTCCCTTCATGGGGAGCAGCTCTTCCCAGTGCTGGAGGGGAAGCCTCCTACCTGTGCCCGTTTGCGGAAGGCCTCCTGTGCTGCCTTCTTGTTCTCGGTTTTGCCTAGCCATGCAGCCAGGGCAGAGGCCTGCAGGGCCCTCCCGTAGGAAAAGGTCAGTTTCCAAGGCTTAGGCAGAGGGGACTGGTTCATGGCGTTCAGGTTGACAGAAGCCTCCTCTTCGCTCTGGCCCCCAGACAGGAAGCAGATCCCTGCAAGAAGGAGGTTTGGAGGCTTAGAAACGGACCACTCCAGTCACCTCAAACCCCTGAGCTCTGCACGCCAAAGGTAGAAGCAGGGCCAGCAAGAGTGACATGGGGAATGGAGGCATAGGAATGAGTCAGGAATCACCGGGAACAGCGGCAGGAACGGTACGAAGGAGGGTAGTAACGGTTGCCACGGCAATATCCTGAGGGGTGTACTTCTTGGAGCAGGAATGCCCAGCTGTCACCATGTTGGGTTTCAGCAGAGTCCCTTCCAGGTACACGTGGTGATCATTCAGTGCCTTGTAGACAGCAGCCAGAACCTGCAAAACAGGGGGATTGAATACAGACTTTTACTCAAACCTTTACCTCAGCCTGTTGCAGGACAGCTTATTCTTTGGGAATGTAAAAAGATCAAATGGGATTCTGCTTTCTCAGGTGTAATTTATCTCAGGGGTGCAGTTGTGGAGATACCGCTGCTTTTGAGATGACCGGGATACCGCTCTTCATATTTATCAGATTTGTCCCTGCAAACTGAAGTACTTGGTTTTGCTCCTGATCTATCTTCTTTGAGATTGAGGATGCTTATATCATCAGTCTGAGTGGAAGTCCAAAAGCATAGATTATACTCTTGCATGTGCTATTAACTCATTAGTTGCCTGTAAGCAGCTCATATTTGTGGTGCTGTTATGAAGTCCCTTTTTGGTCAAATAAATGTCTTTCAGCTCTGTGAGCACAACATGCATAAAGTTTAGCTGCTGATTTGTGAGGGGGAGGAATGTCTTACCTTTTCTGTGACATACTGGCAGCGCTGAAGATCGTGGTCTCCATCAGGCAGGATTTCTGGCTCCACAATGGGCACCAAACCATGCTAAGAAAAGGAAGACAGGGGAAGCTTTAGGGCTATGGAAGAAAAGCTGTTCTTGTTGTTTGATGGTATTTCATCCTCCTGTGCTGTCTTTCCTCCTTGTCTTTCCCCAAACCCTCACAGAGATCCTCCTTTCTAGTGCGTCATCACAGGGATCAGTGAGAAGGGGCAGGTGGGTTGCTGGAGGGCAGGAAGGGTTGCTGGAGGGCAGGTACCTGCTGGCAGATGCTGGCATAGCGTGCCAAGGTGTTGGCATTCTCCTGGATGGCGAGCTGGGAGGGTGTTGTGCTGGTGATCTTGAGCACCGCCCGCCACTTAGCAAAGTCAGCACCGTCCTTCTTGTACTGGGCACAGCGCTCAGCCAGCCCATCCAGCCCTGCAGGGGGAAACAGAGCTGCTCTGAGAGCTGTTCTTCAGCTCAGAGCTCGGACAAGTGCCCTGACACCAGCCAAGGCTGTGCCTCGGGGGAGTCACCCCATGGCTTTTGCTGCACAGGTTGTAGCTTAGGCTCCTTAGATCTCTCCTTACCTTGGATGGTGGTTTCTCCATTTGTTCCTGCTAGAGGTGCTGTGCCTTTATCCAGCTGTGGAGATCAGAAAAAGAGGAAGGGTTACAGAGAAATGGGAATAAGTCTCATCTTCTTACCCATGGCTAGTCTGCCTTTGCAGGCTGACTGTGAGTAAAGTGTGGGGCTAAACATCCTCAGGATGCAAAGGAGGGAAATACTGGAGCAAAAGGGAAGAAAAGGAGTGACCTAGGTCAGAGGAAGGGGCAGTGTGTAGATGGCTGCAGAGAATGGCTTGAGAGCTCTGTCACATGCAGAAAGAACTGGATTTACGTTACTGCATGAAGGAACTTATTTGGAGTGAATGGTGAGTAAATGGGAGCTGGTGTATGAAAAGTTCCTTTGTCTAGTGATAATGTGCGCAAAAGCAAGGCAGGGAATGGTGGCTGAGAGCGTCTAGTGATTTTAAAACAAACCACACACACACACACACACACACACACAAAGTGTTTTTCAGGAGAGAGTGCAGCTCCATATATAAATTTTCTCTGGAAATGTGGTTTGGGTTATGCTGCCAGTCAGGCCAATACAAATACTCACCTTTATTCCCACCACAATGCCTTTTTCCTTGATGAGTGCTGGGAATGGCTTTCCATTGCTGTCTTTCTGGTAGAGAGTCTCGTGGAAGAGGATAACTCCCCCAATGCTCTGGTTGATGGAAGTGTCTGAAGAGAAGAGGATCTCTCTAAAAGCTCGGCGGTTCTCCTCTGTGTTCTCCACATTGATCCTCTGCAGTCTGTTCCCCATGGTACCTAGTGAGGTGGACAATGGCCAGACCAAGAGGTTTCAGGCTTGGCTGGCCTCCTCCTGGTCCCCGTGTGTAGTAAGAAACTGCAGCTTGATTTAGAGCTTCCTTTCCCAACCCATAGTTTGTAAGCTTTTGTTGTCACAGCTGCAGCCCAGACTGGCTGTTTCTGCTCAGACAACTGCTCAGTTTTTAAGGGTCTTTCATTTACTCCATTGGTTTCAAACATGCAGCAAAATTAAAAGGAAAAATTCTTGGGTGCTGCTAACTGATTGATAAGCAGAACTAACCCACTGATTCATCTGCAGCTAGGATCCCCTTTCCTGAAGCCACAATCCGCTGAGCAGTGTCTGAAAGAGCTTTCTTCTGCTCTGGAGTCAGCGCTGGGAACTGGTGGGTCATGTTGACTTATCTGTGAAAGAGAATTAATGTTACCAGCTGGGGGAGACTGTGAATCAGAGACCCCACTGGAAGGCTCTTGGTGCTTGTGTGGTCCATGTTATCATAAGCATATGCCAAGAAATCCATTTCACGTTTTCTTGGCTTGGTGTGTTTGGCAAAATCAGAAGAGAGAAGTGTGGGAGCCACATCCTGCCACATCCTTCCATAATCAAAGTGGGAAAGACACTGCATTTTACCTGGACTTGCTCAGAGAATAAAGGAAGGTCAGTCTGTAATAAAAACATGCACCAAATAACAAGTATGCAAACTACTGACTCTGGACATTTCTTGGTTCCCATCAGTAGAATGCCAATTGCTTACTTTACACATTTCCTAACATTGTCCCTCTCCCATTTTCTGTCCTGTGTTGTCAGTAACTGATTTTCCATCATCACCCTCCTGCTCTGCTCTGTATTTTTGCTCCCCATGGCTGCTTTCAGAACTGCAGTTAATTGCTTCCTCTATAGAAGACCTGGGGGCTTAGAACAATTCACCCCTCTTTCCGTCTTTTCAGCTGTGGCAGAGGCTTACCAGTTGCAGATACTCAGCACCTGAAATGCCAAATTCTGTCTTACTCTGACAAAATTCTTGGTCTTATTAAAGTTTTCATTAGATGCCGTTAAATTACAGTTTCTGGTATCATCTGAATAGTCCAAGTTGCTTTTCTGTGTATATAAGCCTGCGAGCCCAAAACAGAAAGACTCTCTTCCTTCAATTTATCATGTGATAGCTAAATCAACACCCATGTTTTTGTCAGTGGTTGCTAAATCCAGAAGGTGATTAATTAAAAAGATCTCCAATAGTACAAAAGATCTTCAATCTCAAGTTTTCTCCAAAAGGGTAGGGCTCTGGACAATGTCTGCATATTCTACTCCCAAAGTCAACCTGAGAGAGGAGTGAGAACGTGCCATTTCCAATTTCATCAGAGATGGCCAGAACATATTTCTCCTTATATAAGCATTAGGCAGCCAAGTCCTACTTCATCTTTCCCTGCACACAGATGCTATGTTGCCAGGGAATCCTTGCCTTGTTCTTCCTACTGAAGGACAGAATGGGGAGAAATGATAAACAGACTGTCTGTTACTCATGATAGAGTACAGAGTTCTGTACAGCATGACAAATGGTGCCAACATTTTCTGGCAACCATGCCATCACAACTAAGGTGGCAGCAACAAATCCATGTCTCTGATTCATAGCTGAAGGTACTTTAGAAATTTAATCCTGCAAGATTCAAATGGCATTGTCTGCCAGTACAGACCAGCCAGATGCAGAGTCCAGATGTCTTTATCTTTTTGTGAGCTGAGACCAGAATTCTATCAAAGGTGAGTAATTCCAGGTTTAGAGGGGAGTTGAAGGAGTGCATAATGAAGACTGTGTCAAATGAGGGAGAGTTCCCTCCCTCCCCAAGGGCTGAAATGCCTCCTTGCTGTGTTCCTGCAGAAGGAGGCTCAGCTGAGCCCCAATCTCTGTGTGTCTGGCTGTGCCGAGCTCTGGGAAGCATCCTTCTGCTGTGCTGACTGCTGCTCCATCACTCCCAGTTCTCAGCTGTTCAGCCCCCTGAGAAGAACTTGAAAAGTTCTGGTTTATGCTGCATAACTACTTCAGTTCACCTATGTGAACTGCTGTCTGTGTCAGATATGTCTCAAAGAGGAAACTGGCTTGTTATGATTACTGTAATAATAGTTGGGTGGTGAGCACTTCAGGTAAAACCACTGCACTGTTAAATAAGTGGTTTTGCAGAATGATGAGGAATCACTCCAGTGGTTCACAGTGTCTGCAGAAAAGACTGGAAAATTGTGACCTGGCAGAAGTATGATCTTGTCCAAGGTCAAAGTTAATGAATCTCTAAATCAGGGGTGGGATTTCAGAGTTGTAGTTTGGAGCTGTGTTGCAGCACCGGGGGATGTATCCAGGTAATCTTTAATCCCTGTACCTGAACTGCAAGACCACCAGTTGCTCTAGTCATGTTATTGTGGGCACACTTTCTTTCCTGCAATGCAATAAACAGTGAGGCTAATGTCTGCTCTCTCTTACTTGTTTCCAGTGTTTGCCTAAAGATAACAAAGAGACAGTTATCACTCAAAGCCAGCCTGCAAAACACAGAAGTACTGAAGTACAAGCTTTCAGCAAATAATGCTGCTCCAAGTGAGTACTCTGAGAGACTGAAACCATACAGTGTAGTTCCACAAAGATGAATTGGAAGACAGCAGATTAGTTCCAGTTTCTATGCAAGGATGTCATTGAGTGTGAAGGAGTAGGTGGAGGTTTGCCAAAAGTCTCCCCAAAATTATCTTGATTGATGGGTAGCCATCCAGAGCAGTCTGGACAGGGGAGGGAAGAGGCCAACAGAGCTTCATGAAGTCCAGCCAGGGCAAATGCCCAGCCACTGCCTGGGGCGCAGAGCCCTGGCAGTGATCACCCCAGACTAGTGGGATGGGGGAACAGCTCTTTAGGGATGGCCCAGGGCCCAGTCAGTCACTGAGCTGAACAGGGTGCCATCAACAAGGGCCCAAGCACCCTGTGTGAGCAGGAGGCCAGCCCAGAGGAGGACAGGGGTTATCCCCCTCAGCTCAGCACTCTTAAAGATTACACCTGGGTACTGCATCCAGGGTTGGGTCCCTGCAGTACAGGAAAGACACGACAAACTGAAGCAAGTCAGTTCAGCGTGTGCCACCAAGAGGGTTGGGGGCTGCAGCACTTGCTCTGTGAGGAGAAGTCTGCAGAGATGGGTCAGTTCAGTCTCAGACAGCGATGGCTTTGGGGGCACCTCTCAGCAGTCCCCAGCACCTACAGAGTGGTGACTGCACAGGCAGAGCCAGGCTCTTCACAGTTGCATGTGGAGAGACAGGGAGAGACAACAGGCATAAGCTGAAACTAGAGTGGTTTGGACGGAATATGAAGAAAACATTTTCACAGGACAGCCAAGCAATGGAGCAGGTTGACAAAGAGGCTGTGGTGTCTCCATCCTTGGAAAGTTGCCAAGGCACATCTGAATAAAGCCCTGAGCACCTTGATCTCACCTCATGTCTAACCCTACTTTGAGGAGGAGGTGGTGGGACTGCAGAAGGTGTCCCTTTCATCCTGAATTACTCTGTGACTCTCTGTGAGTACCTGCTTCAGGAGTCGAGGTGGACGCTGTGCCTCCTGTATGTAGGCAGGAGCTCTGAGGGAAGAACAGGATGTTTCTCCCATCATCTTTGCATTGAGAGTGATGGTTTTAGTACAGCAAAATTTCATTTCTGGGTTCTAAAAAGTCTCAAGGGAAGGGACAAAAAGAGATACTTAGACTTCTATCACCTAGAAAAAGGGACAGATGTTTTTGACAGACTTATTTCACCATCTCGATAGCTCCTTTGGGGCATGTTTGATGGTAAATTGCCTGGTTGTTTTTTGCTCTTTCGGTGAATTTTTCTTTACCATCTTCCAAATTCTGTCTAGGGACCTTTGTTCAACATCCTGTCTCCTGTCCTGATTCCCACGTTAGCCTCAGAGCTATAGTCAAGCTCTGAGCAAATGTGCCCCCATTTGAGGGCTGGGGTCTTCTCAGAGAAGGTAATAAAATGCTGTCAGACTTGCATGAGAATTCCAGTCTTGTATTGCCAGCAGGGCAGACTGGGGGAAGCAGTGGTGAGATCTCAGGTGGGCTAAAAATAGTTTTGGGTTCTCAGCACATGTTGAAAATGTGATGGAGGATCACAGGCTCAGTGAGGATTTGAGTTTGTTGAGCAATTTTCTGAAGCTCTCTGTTCACAGCTGGAGAGGTTACAGCCTAATGTGAGAGCAGGTTTTGTTTTCCTGCACTGCAGACCATCCTACATCCCCCTGTCAAAGGATCTTATCCACACTACTGCACTAATGCTTCAGAAGAAGCTGCACAACGAACACAACGTAATTATACTTCTGTCAGCACTGGTGCCTGTCAGGGCCAGCTGCCTTCTGCAGTCATTCTGTATTCTTCTTGCAAAACATAAATTTGGGTACGCCACAAGTAATACCAAACACAAAACAAAGCAACAGAAAGCAATGCAGGTATGTTATTGCTCTAGTCCCTTTAGACTACGGATTCACTTATTCCAGGAGTTCTGAGTGACTAAGTTAAGTTAGAAAGCCAGTGTTAGCAGCAAATGGGTTACTTTGGAGGACCACTGCAGAATGGCTGAGTGCTTATTTCTTACAAGCTGTTCCTGTAACAAAAAAATAAAAACAACACCAAAACAACATTCCAAGCCCAGTGTAGATAAACATGCCAGGTCTCAGCTGCTGATATACATACCACTTTTACAGTTTAGAAACTAAATTATTATACTTACTTACTTGTGGGCAGTGCCTCTGCTGCTACACGCTTCTGGTGAGGTGTTTGCAGGCAAAGAGACCTAGTCCTTCTAATCACTAACTTTTATAAAATTCTTGACAGCTCCCCCCCCACCACCTCCTTCATTGTCCCTCCTCCCTCCGTAGGCTGACTGGGGAGGTGTCACTGCTCAAGGTCTGTCATTGGCTATCAGACCACCACCACACACCTCCAATGGGACCTGGTCATGCTCCTGCTGTTCCTTCCCTTTTCCTCCTCTGTATATATATAAGGCCATTTACCATGCACTGAAACAGAGGTGTTTTCCAGTTATTTCAAATTATTCCCCCTCTTTCTAAAACAGATTGAAAAAAACTGCAAGAGGAACCATGGAAATTGTTTACAGGGATCTTGGGAATAGCCTTGTGTTTAGGGTTAGATCTTTTGAAAGCTTATACTTCGGAAACTACACAGTGCAGGAAGGAAGAGTAGAAAACAAAATACAGAAACACTGCAACAGAGCCTTAATTGGCATGAGTTAGTATAATTTCAGTTGCTTCGTAAGTGTTACACTGCTCTTCCTCACTGGAAAATTTAGCATGGAAACATATTTTCCTTTTCCAATTAGTATATGGAAAGGCAAAATGTGATGCTACAGCATCAGGGTTAATGACACAGCATGTTCTGTAACCCAGTGTATACGTGAGAGCGATGGTCATCAGACAAACTATGCCCACACTGAGATGCACAACTGCAAGCCAAATTTTTTACCAAAATCCCATTGAAATGCTCACTCACATGGCAATGACATCCAAACTTCTCAGTTGCTTAGCAAAATTTTTCTGTGAAAGATGCTGATCCTGTATAAACAGTGTATCAGCACTCCAGTTTACATGAAAACACACTACAACTATTCCCTAAAACCAGGTAGATTGAGTATTTGTTTTATTCTCTCCCCCCCATATTGCATGTCAGTTTCCCTGGAGGGAAGATCAGTGCAGGGATTTTTATGCAAACATTATACCCTCAGCAACAACACAGCAACCTTGGACATTGGCATGTTTTTTACCACAAAACACAGTGTTTGCATGAGGAATGACGTATTTTCTGTTTATTTGGCTCATGCAGTGACACCTTTAGCCTTTACTGGACTTGTAGGGAATCTTAGCAACCTGCATGCTGCCAGCAGTAGCACTTCATGACAGTCAGCATAAAGTGAAAAAGCTGAGAATGCAGTCCAGCTGAAGGCTTGTGCTTGTGTTCCTTTGTTTACTTTAATATTGTCCTTCCTGATCCATACTTTTTTTGCTGAAGAATGCTGTGCCACATGACATGGACATAAAGCTTCCCTGCTTTACAGTGTTTACTTTAAATTCCATTTCACCCATCCTAGCAGAAAGACAAACCCCATGATGTACTAAAGCTTCTCTGACTACCACAACAGAGGCATCCAATATAGATTAAAATATTTTTAATTAAGTACAGTACATAAGACCCTACTGAGATCAAGAAGGTGTCATACTGGTGGTCTTCTACAGGGCCACAGAAAAAATCAGAGTTTGAGTCCTGTGGCTTCTGGTTTGGTAGAAACTGTCACTGGAGGAAAGTACTTGGAAGTGTTTCTTTCCCAGTGTCATCTGTGATAAGGTCTGACAGGCTATTAGAGAAAATATGTGGGAGTCTTATCGAAAAAAAAATTAGTGTCTGACATTTAGAAACCACTTCAGATACTCCCCTGCAGCCCACGTTGCATTCTTAACTCTTTCAGAAGTATATATATGTTTTTTCCAGGTGGATAATTACTGGTATGTGCCTTCCTAGGCCTTCTGAGCCAACACTCAGCACGCCAAGGACTAGGATCACACGTCCTAGTAGAGATTTTGAGGAGTGAGGAGATAAAAAGGTGAGTGGACATGATGGTTAACTTTTCCACTTAGTTTAGGAGTCTTTTCAGGCAAGAACATGGAATGAGGAATTATGCTGGATGATGTCACTATAAGGTTTGGTCCTGTTAGCATGCAGACCCATGACACTGACCAGAAACTGCAGTGATATTAAAATGGAAAGGAGTACCTACTTTCATCATAAGTAATCATACAATATTCGTAGCTCTAAAAATTACGTTATAGTGGTATTGCATATCCTTAAATGATAAGAGGAATAAGCTTGCATCGTGAGGGGAATGCAGTGTACTTGCATTTAACCGAACAACTAACCTGGTCCATAAAAAGTACAAATCATTGCCTGCAATAATCATTCTGTGGCAAAACTGGTGTATTATCCAAGTTGCAAGTGTCATGGAGTTAGTGATTGAACTCAATATTGCCATTTCACTCACCTTTCCAGTGATTCAACTGATTTTTTTAATGGGTTCTTTTTCTGCTTAAACCTTTTTCAGGCTAAGGTGGTGCAGCCCTAGGGCTGTGGCTAGACAGAGGCTGTCTGCTGGTGTGAGTAGAGGGGGCTACACTCAGGCATTATGGGGACAGAGACTAGATTTGTGGCCATGGTCAGCAGGAAAACAAGAGGCAAGGACAGGCAGATGCCATGCCTCAACAACTGTTGAGGGGTCCAGGTAACCACTGGGTGACAAAGTTGCTCCTTAACAGTGTGAAACATGCATTTTGTAGCATCCACTGCTGTTTGTGTTGCCACCCCTTTAGAGTGGTACCTTGGATTTGTTTTATGCAGTTTGCAGGGTTGCCAGGGGGAGTTAAGTTGAAGAGGAAGGACCATCTCTTCTCTGCGTCCCTGGGATTCCTCATTGCCCTCTGCCTCTGGCATGGGAAGGAGGACCTACTACAAAGATCCCAGGCTGAGGATAAGGACAGGGAGAATGGGAAGGGATGTCAGTTGCCCTAAAGAACAACTACTCTCATTTTTTTTTGGTATTCGTAATAATTTTATGGACTAATGCAGTGATTGCTGATGCACTTTCTTTGTGAAGAGTGTAATCTTTTAATAGAGGATTACTGTTTCTTGAGAGTTTTGAATGTCTGAGAATTGATTACTTAAACACATACCTAAACAAATACAGTGATTTTGCACAGATTATGGGGGTTTTATGTGTTCATGAGAAAGCTGATATAAACAGTCTCGCAATATAAAAAACTTTACAGCTTGCTCAAATCTGTGTTTGAAACATCACTGCAAATAAGATGCATAACTAGTAAGAGATTAAATGTTCATTGTTGTGCCTTTTATAGCATGGCAATAGAAAACAGTAGTTAAGTATAAAAGAGACTGCTAATGTTAAAACACAAGTGTCTGGCACTTTCTGTCACATTTATGGCACAATATAAGTGTATTTTCTGTCTGAATGGCTTGGAAATTTTGCTGGTATTGAATTTTCCATACAAAAGTTGACAGAAGTATCCATTTAAAAATGTTAAAGAACACTAAAAACTGTATTCACAGATGTCTGAGTTTATTACTTAGGTCTTAATTTGTGGGTTTGCTTTCTGGAGATTGACAATGCAAGTACCGGTTTTCGTAGTAGAAGTTAATTTAATTGCTGCCATTTTTACATCCAGCCTTGCTGTCAAAGGATCTGCCAGTTCTGCACTGAAATTTTGAGTGAAGTCTTGCTGGATAAAGTACATTAAAATCAATGGAAATTCTGGTTTAAAGGTGATAGGTAAAAATTTTTTAATTGCTCATATTCTTCCAGGTTGGTGATTGTGTTTTCTTCTGTCTGGTTCTACCAGAATAATTCTGATACTGTTTTTCCATTTAATTACTCAAATTAACTAGCATTTTAAAAACAAATAATAGGCAAATGTGAAGAGAGGCAAACTGTAGTACATCTGAGAAAGAATGAGGAAAGGAATGGATGAAGCAATTTCAGAGATGATGTGGTCACCAAGTGAAAAATTAAAAGCTTAAAGCTTCTCTCTGTAAATTAAATACTATTTAACCTTATCAACACTTTTGGACGTGGTCAGACCTGTAAAAGATATTGAAATGGAATGGAAAAAAACACTGAGAGTTGGGAGCATGCCCAAGAACCATATGCATCCACATGAAAAACACTTGGCTCTGTGGCCCCGAGAGGCTGCTGCCTGCGTGATGGGGTTAAAGTCTAATCCGAGCTGAGTTTGTCTCCTGCCCACCTCTCCACACTGTGCTGGATGTTTCCTGTTTTCTGTACTCGGCAGTCTTGCTCAACCATCTCAAAGTCCAACTTGTTCATCCTTATCTAATCAGAGATATTGTTTATTAAATAGTTTGTTTTCCCAACTCACCTAAAGCCCTCACCCCCAATGTGGACAGCCTGACTGTTAACCCCTCTGAAAGAAATTCCCCTGTATTTTTGGCTCCACAGACATGAACATCATGGGCATATGTGGTTGTTGGGCAGAACAGACTCATGCCCACAGAGCCCACCAAGGGGATTTAACAAGGGAGTTTTTGTTTTGCTCTTTGTTCTGTGCGACTTGAAGCTGGGCTGCAACAAACACCATGACTTGGAATGAAAAACAGGCAAGCACACAACATCACTGTTGTCAGAACCCAAATCTTTGTAATAATTTCAATAGTGAGCATAGCAAACCATGATATGACTTTAAATCAAGCTGCCTGAGGCAACATTTCAGGGCTGGCAAAACAACTGTAACAGGACATGAAGGTAAGTGCTGTGCTGACACTGGTCTCTGTGCCTTTCTGTTGACTTTTGTTTTTGAAAAAGCAAGTAGGCAAACAACTGACTTCTGCAGAAAGAGACACTTAACTGTTTATTACCTGTTTCTCTAGTCAGCACATAGTGCCTCCAAAAAAGCTCAATCAGGTGCTGCATGTTAATATTCGCATACAGTTTACAAAACACAAACCCAAGCAGATGTCTGAAGTAGACCAGCCTGCTGAGAAGACCATGGTAGATGTGGTTTCTGCATCGCTACAGGAATACTGGACACTGTGGCAGAAATTCAAAGAGAAGGCAGGCGTAGCTGTTGAGAGGTTTATGGAACAGGGCAATAAAATATAAGTCTTATTTTTCATCATCAGCATTTAAAAGTCACTGTTATTATACAGCTGTGAACGTGGCATTCCTAGCTTGCCATGAAGAACAAAGTTGTGGAAAGGGACATTGATGTTGCTGACTTGGCCTGTAAGTGCATGGATAAAGTGGCTGATGGGGTGGATTCTCCCAGAGGACAGATACTCTGTGGGAATGAAGAGACACATAGAGTGAAAAAGCACAGACCACAGAGTACGTAATTCTCTCTACGTAATTTTTGGCAGATGTATGTTTTACTGAAGATTATTCAGAACCACATGTTGGGCCCTACCATCTGCTGAATTTGGATATGATGTCTGCAAAGCTGGTGTGGAAATAACACAAAACGAAACTCTGCCTTTGGGAGAGAAACTGCCAATGCCTTTGTAGCTACAACTGTCTCCCCCAGAAAATTACCTTTCTTATTTTGTGAAATATGTACCCTCTCCATACATATGTAAGCTGAAGTTAAATTTCAGCACTCCGAACTCGATTTTATCTGAAGTCCCTATTAAAATGTCGCAGTACTTGACTGGAAAAGAGCCCGAGGACTCTGGTCTAATAAGACCTGCTTTGAGCATGAAATTGGACCATGGACCTTCATAGGTCCTTTTCAACCTGTGTGGCTGTAGAATCAAAATTATTACATCTGTGCAGATGCATGAACATGGAAGTATCTTTTTTTGTCAAATATGGTAAGGAAAGATGGATCTGCCAGTCAGGAATACAAACAGAGAGAACAGACAACAGTTTTACTAGAAAGGTTATTTATTTTGTAGAAAGTTTGCTTATAAATAACTATTTAAAAAAAAAAAAAATTCAGCCCGCATCCAGACAAATTGCTGTTGAAATACCCAGTCTGAAAATTCACAGCTGGAAGGAAGGCTTTTCCCTTCTCTCTTCAAATGCAGTGTCTTCTCACTAACTCATTGATACCTACTGTAGTTAGAAAATCCTCTTGCGCTTCTAATCTAATAGAAACCTGTAATTTTATGTCCTGTGTTCTGCCAGAATAATGCTTATGTTGGACATGTCTTGGAAACAAATGTTGCTTTGGTTTAATTTAATAACTTGCCTTGGACAATAAAGCCTTGAGTTCTGCTGCAGGCCCATCAAGAAAGAATCCTCTTGTGCAAGCAGCAGTTGCTATGTTCAAAAATAGTCTCCAAACTATTGGGAATGAACCAACACCCCAAAAAATGACACTGTTTAAAAAATAGTCACTAAGTCCATTTTAAGGTGAATGAACCCAAAATCTTCAGGCCACATTTCAAAGAGCTAGTGCTATGCCTTGAACTTATATAGCCTGTGATACAGCAACTCAGCTCCACTCTCCCCTGGTAGAAAAGAGGGAAAAGGCTTTTGTGTGTTTTAAACTGCCTTTTTAGCCTGAACAGCAGAACAAAATCCAACAGGAATTAAGAATTCACAGTAGCCTCCCATTTTCTGTTCCAAGGGTGATGTACAGTTCTCTGACTTGTGGCACTGAAAAGAGAAACAAAAATCATTCTACATGTGACAGGTCAGAGGCAGCAGCAACAGAAGGAGCCTTTGCCTGATGGCTCCTGGCAGGGTGGGCACTGCCCAAGCACCAGTAACTCAGAAACAGCTCTGAGCAGGCTCAGTAAAAGCAGTGCCTCTGTTGTGAAGGTGAGTTGTGCACTTAAGAAAATAATTCCAGAAGGACATAAAGAATTTATTAACTTGTTTCTTGCACAAAAGAGTTTTTTCTCCACTGGTTTATCTGAAACTCTCACACTTGCAAGTTCAAGCCCTAGGTGCTCCGCATACTGTTTTGTCTCCCAGTCAACTTCTCTCATCTCTTATGACCTGAAAATTGTCTTCTTGTTTAGAAGGGATGCCTCACATTTGCATTTTCAATTTTCAGCTCTGAGGCTAAGTGAAATTATTGACCTCCCCTGGACTTTTGGGATGACAAAGTACTACTGTACAAACAAGGAAAATAACGTTGAAGCAAATGGATAAATCATTTCCCCACATCAAAACATTTATTAACTGTATATAGTTCATTGGTTTCTTTTCTAAGACATCTTTCTTTTCCCCCCTTCTTTTTTCATTCCCTGACCCATTTATTGTACATTGCTGTGAGATCTTTTTTTGCAAGAATGAATATGAATGGGCCCTCGTGAAAAAAACAGGGCACTGTCCTGGATTTGTATAGCACAAAGATATAAAAGACTGAAGAGAAAAAGATGCCAGCAGTGAAACATTCAGAGCTGAAGATGCAGAAACATGTTGCATATGCAGGCACTTAGTGAAATAAATACATGACAAAACTCAAATCCTGTCGTCCTGACCCTGTCTAAAGCCTGAGAAGAAGTTTGCCCATCTGCCTCAGTATCCTCAGAGTTTTCAGCAGCTGGGAATTTTACCTGTGCCATTTTTCCAGTGTCCTCTGGCAGGAGAGGTGGTTTGCTTTTGGAATGACATGGAATCCACCAGCAGTTTTTACTTACCTCTGATTTTCAAAGCTGTCTTGAAAGCATCCCAGCTGATTATTGCAAGAGCAAAGCACTGCTCTTACGCCATTCCTCTACTAACCTGCACTATGTGTTTGTGTTGTGTAACTGGTACCTACTGGGTCCTGACAGATGAAGGTTTGGCATTTTCTTTGGTTTCATCTCTCAGGAGTTTTATGTCTTTCACACCTATAACCAGACCTGTTAAGGCATAAATCACATGGGAGAGACCTGCGGGAAGAAAATTCAAAAGAGAGCTCTTCCATCACCAAAATAAAAAACCCCAAAGAACTAAACTCAACAAAAAATATTGTCTGTGGTTCACTCTAAAGTTAGGACTGTGGTTTTAAAAACAGTTCAACCCAATTCCATATATAAGTGGAATTTGATGTAAAGCCCAAGGTGGGCTTTTCATTAGATATACATACTTTTTGCCTGATTTCAATCGGTATGAGATCTTTTGTCACCTGCATGGTTTTATATTTAACTGTGCCCACATACCTGGTACAAAGTACCTATCCAAATGCCTAACAACCAGGGCACACAAAGTTAATGGGTCACTATTAGAGTGGCCCCTTGATGTGCTGTGCTATTGGTGCCTGTCCTTGCAAACAGATAACAGGTGTTTTGCTTCCTGCCAGGAGCAGCAAATGAGCCACTCAGGCTGAGATGGGAATTACAGCTCCAAAATGAACAAGGATCCTGAACAACAGATGCACCTGATCTAATCTTTCCTTTGTCTTGGTGCTGGTAGGAAGGTAAATTAATCTTGAATACCTAAGTTCAATCAGTGACTGATAAGACCTCCTTTAATGAGCTGGACTCACTACAATTAGTGATGATACCAACCAGCACAGGAATCATCCTGTGATGCGTATTAACATCTGTCATGTATCAATGAAAATGTGCATTTGTGACCCGTCTGTGCAACAACAATGGATGTGATTCTGTTTTCCTATTCCTACCCTCAGAGTTGACAATTAATAGAGCAGCAGAGGTTTTATTTTTAAGAGCCTCTGGTCCGAGCAAACAGAATGGGAAGGGTGGAGGTGCAGATAGGTACTGCAGGGGAAAACCGTAACTAATAAGAGGCTTCATAAAATTTGAAGTATCCAGACAGAACTTGTGGGGGAATTCCCATAAACCACTTCTGCTTTTGAAGGGTCTGCTCAAAACCACAGCTTTGAAACAGACAGAGGTCAGAGATCAGACCTTAGTAAAGATGAGGAAATAAGGCCCTTCCTTATTAGCTTAAATTTGAAACATTCACTTTGTCCAACATTTCTGTTGCCCTAAGTCAAGGAATTTTGTAACCAGTGTACAAGAAAGTAGGCAGGATAGCTGTGCGTGTTGGTGTGAGAGCTTTGCTTTGAGAACGGTTAAGGAGAGTTGGCAACCCACACCTTCAGCTGGGATCATCCACTCCCCTCCCAGGTGGTGCATGGCATATAATAAATAGGGTCTATATGTACATAGCTGATTTTTTAAGGAACCTTGTGGTTGTTTTTTTTTAAAGAGAGTTATTCTTTGTCCATTTGGAGGCACAGGAAGTCCATTGCAAGCAGCACCATATCCGAGTTTGCACACTTCCCCTTCTGTCCAGTGGCAAGTTCCCTGGCTTTTGTGTCTGGAAAGGCATGAATTGATCACAGCAGCTTCGGGCTGCTGTTCAGTCGGAGGCTGGAATACATTCCCACATGCCGGACCAGGTTGGGTTCCACCACATAGGCATTCTCCCCCTTGGCCCACAGCAGGGAGTAGAGGGCAGTGTCCTTAGCAAATCCCTGCCGGCAGTGCAGCTCCTGCAGGTAACCTAAGGCACGCCGGGCAGAGGGAGCAGGGAAGAGCATAGCTGGGGTGCAGCACTCGGTGACTGGCACCACGTTGTAGAGCGCAGGGTGCAGGCGGCGCAGCTCCAGCAGGTAGTGCCGCCCCACCAGCTCTGACAGGGTCATGCTGTACAGGGCAAAGAACAGCGCGAGCAGCCAGCTGGGGCTGGGCCGCCCCAGCACCCACGAGTACACACAGCTCAGCACCGGCCCCAGCAACATGCCCAGGCCCAGCCACTCCAGGATCCTCATGGGCTCAGGGTTGAAGTAGCGCTGGAGCCGCTCAGGATGGTAAAGCTTGAAGTAGAGAGCATCTCTGAGGTACGGCTTGGAGAACCGGGCCAAGAAGAGGTGCTGCAGGACAGAGAATATCTCCTTCTCTGGCACAGCATCATCTTCCACTACAAGGATGTACTGTGGGTTGTATGATAACAGGGACTGCTCAAGGCAGAAGACATAGTCCTGCTTCTCCTTCTCGAACTGGTTCAATCTGGGGTCAGGGTTCTCTCCAGTTCTGTCACGACTGACCATAGGAAAGAAGCTGCTCAGCAGCCTGACATCCTGATGGCTACTGGGGTCTGACTCCACGTTGCAGAGGAGCACGCGGTGGCTCTGGCAGTATGCACCACATTCCTGGAGGAGGTGGTGGAAGCGGGAGGCCACTTGCAGGACATAGTGGAAATCATACCGCCTCTGCACAGTGATAATGGTGATCAGCAGCAAGGGCTGGAAGGCATCGCTGCCAGAGGCCTCAGAGGCATTTGGTATCTGCATCTTCTCAAAGTAATGGAGGGCATCCTGTCCCTCCTGCTGGTTGTGCTCCAGGAACTCCTGGCTCATGGAGTTCAGGTGCCAGCGCCGCAAATAGAAATAGGAGTGGAGGAGCCGGTGGCAAATCAAAGGGGCAACCACTCCGAATGTCACCACAGTCAGCATGAGAAGATGGACAACAGGACTGGACCAGCGGCACCACCTCCCACAGAGCTGCCAGGCTTGGTGTAACATAACTGCTGCAGAAGGAGGGCACTCCTGTGCTGTTCATCCCTCAGTACTTCACTTCCAGTGCATCTTCCTCCCTGGATTCCTCACTGGGGCAGTGGCTGCCAAACCTGCACAAGTTGTCCAAGCCTAGAAAGGAAGAAAAAGTATAGTTACTGAAATAGGAACTGGAAGAGAAAATGGAAAGCAGGGGGTTAGTCACTAAGAAAATCAGAATACATGGCCCTTTAGGAGTCCCTTGTGGTGTGGGGGCATCACAGAATAGTCCTGGGAGGTTTAGGATAGATCACCCAAACTTAGTTTCCAGCAAAGTGCCCCTAAGGCCTTTTCATCACATAGGAGTTCTGATCTAACTTAGCTCGATAGGACTTCATTGTGTTTGTTACTGTGCTTCAAACACGCAACAACAGACAATGTGGATGGAGGATTTGTGGAAATCCCTTCCTGTTAAAGGCAGAGAACTGAGATACCACTTTCTGGTCACAGTGACACAGTAAGATTTGTGTTATAGCTAAGAACCACAGCCAGATCCCTTGCGTGTTAGCCTAGCATGTATTTAAGAGACAAACTTTTACCTTTTTTGGAATGACACATGCTTCCCTTCTGTTGCTCACACAGTTCCAAGCACCTGCTTTTTCACTTTCCTCCCTAGAGTGTGAAGCCAGATAACAAAGACACCAATTTACTTCACCAAGGGCCCGCGTACACGCTAAGTGTAATGTGTGTCTGTGTGCCTGTCTCTTTCACATGTCTCCTCCTTGCCATACCCTGTGAAATACATGGGCATAGCAAGATGTTGCAGTTGAGCCACTAACTCATATTTCTTACTTAAAAGTTTGCAATTTAACAGTATATGCCTTTTATTTAAAACGGAAACATTCATATCAATATATATTTTTTTTTTATAGACATGCACTTTAAAAAAACATCCACCTTTGCAAAAGTTAGAGTTGGTCACATTTGGCTTTTCTGTTCTGCTTCTCTGGCTGCTATGAACACCTCACAGCCTGGCTGTCAGAAGCTTACATAAAATCAGGGTAATTAGGCTGTTCAAATAAATTCTGTTGTGCCACTAATCTCCCTTTTTAATCTGCTGTTTCGTTCTCCCTTTAATTTCCTATTCCCTCTCCTTCTGAACTGAGTTATCCATACCCCCCAACCGAGCTGACTGACTGCACGAGGTGTTCAATGGAGAACTTCTCTGACTTTTAACCTTCTGCCTTCAGCAAGTTCTAATCATGAAGTGGTGCTCCTAGGACAAAATGTTACTCTTTGTTCTCCTCTGCACTGTCATGTGAAGGAGCTTAAGCAATGTTGGATGGGCAGAAAGAAATCATGGCTTTTCTCCTCAGTCTCAGAAAAATGGAACTTGTACAAGAAACGACTTGGAGGAGACAGAGCAGCATCTGACTGGGGGAACTTCAAAACGGCCTTCATTACTGCAGTCACAGATTTGCTGGTTTTACCATTACGAGAAACTTTTCCTATTGCTATATGGGAATGTGACAACATTCTATGAAAGGCCTTTTAACAAGATTAATAGAAAATATATAAGAGTTATTCCAAATATTTGATAGAGGACAGGCACTTCATGCCATGAGATCTCAAACCATCCTTAAGTAGACTGTGGTATCAGCATTGTGCTCTCCTGTGATTCAAAAAAAGATTTAGAGTAATTAAATAGGGATAACAAATTTACATGTTGATGCATGAGAATCTGCACCCATACAGGTTTTTATTTTTCTTTTTCAAACAATTGTGAAACAATCCTGTTTCACAGACACTGCATTGCATCAGTGGACCTTGTAAAGGCCTTAAAGGTGATGGCTATCTTTCAGCTGTGAGATCCAAATCATAAGAATTCAGGACATGAAGACCTGAAATCTAGCAGATGCAAAGACCTGGCATTTAAATCCATTTATTCATCCAAAGTCCTGGGCTTTCCAGCTAACCTGCCACAAGCACTAAGGGAATACACAAATGCAGAATCATATTCTACAACTCACAGTGTCATACTGCTAAGTCTCCTTTTCATGTGAGCATCACTGTGGGCACTGTATCTGAGCCAGATTCCAAATATGAAAGCGAGGACCACAGTGGGAAAAGGAGATGAAGAAAAACTAGAAGGTAGCTTAGTTCTCGGGAGTGAAGAAGTTTACTTTCCACCTGCCAGCTGTAATGAAGATCTGAGCTACAAAAACTGTGAGCCAGCAGTGAGCTCTTGGGATATACACTGAATATATGAATATACATTAATCATTCTTTGAGCATTGCTTAATTAATAATTTTCTGAGCAACCTGGTCTAGTGAGTGGCATCTCTCACCGGAGGGATTAGAACTAGCTGGTCTTTAAGGTTCCTTCCAACCCAAACCACTCAGGGAGGCCTCCTTCCCTCATACCATCTTCTCCTGAAGGGCAAAAAATGGGTGTCCTGTCTTCTCTGGTGGCCAGCAGAGCTGGCCTCATGATTCAGCCTCATGAGATGAATCAAACAGATTTTCACCTGAGGTTCTGTTCTTCTGCAGCCCATGTCGTTTAAGGGTGAGGCTCACCTGAAGGTGACTCCCAGGCCCCTGCAGGAGGACTCACAGGGGGTCTGAAGCCCATCAGTCCTTTCTCCACCCACCCTTCCTATTGGGAAAGTAGTGCTGGGACTCCACCTGCTGGTGTCCCAGCTCCTGGCTCGGGACAGGGTGGGTGAGGTGGTGCAGGGGAGCATCACCCCATCTGGAGGTATCTCCTGCTTCACACAAGGAAATAGCTACCCCTGGAAAAGGGGTCTGGAAGCCAGCCACGGTCACAAGCATTTATGATTTAACCCTGGCTTCACCTCATCAGTAACTGAACTCAAGATCTCAGAGCTCTTATCCTGGTTCTGCAACTCAGAGAGCCTCAAGGAAAACAACAATCACACACGCACTTCTGGAACTCTTTCAGTCTTCCTCTGCTGCCTGGGTTGTTTGCAATCACACTGACTGTCACACAGGGAAAACACAGGCTGTTTTCCCTGGGCAGTGAAATAACCACAGAGGTTAAAAACAGTCAGGAGCATATTAGATCAGGTCAAATACTGCAATTCATGCAAAAACTAAGCTGAAGGATCTCGAAAAGAGGGAAGACACTGACCTCCTTCCCACCTTCTGTTTGTAAGACTGGGAACCTGAGAATTCCAATATAGATAAAAAATTTCTTACTTCTGCAGAGGTGAAATTTGATCTTATCTGGAGGATTTGAATCCAACTTTTCTGTTCAGGCTGTTTTCTTTCCATTAGGATGGTTCTGACTTCACAGAAGCCACTCTGTTTTCAGAAGCTGTTGGTACTGTAATTTTCATCTGTTTCCCTTTCTAGGGGAAAAAAAAAATCTTGTTTTTCTTTAAGTAAGGCATTTCAGACAGAAAAACAATGAAGTTTGAGGGGAAAACCAAGAATCAAAATTGGATTTTATAGTGCTTTAAGAAATCCCACTATATTAAACCTGAGTAGTAAATACTTAGCAAACATATAAATACTTGCAAAGGAGATCAGTTTTATACATGTTCTGTGTAGAACTAAGCCATTGCTTAAACAATGTCTAAAATCTGTGGTGATATAAAGCTATAGAAGTTGCTTCTTCCTTTTCTTAGATCTTCATGATGAAGATTCCTTCCAGAAACACCTGATTCCAAATCTACATTCCTAGCTTCAGTGGTCCCCTAATTCCTTGGCTGAATTACACTGCTCAGGAAAAAGTCACCTCTGCACACACTAGGGAGAGTAGAAAAATGAGTAATATCCTCTTTGGGGTGCAGAACATCGTCTGCTGTGTTTGTGCTTTGAGAGAGACCTGATTTTCTGTCTGGTCCAACCTCCTCTCCACAGACGTATTCCCAAAGGCAGGAAAAAAGTTTCTTACATGTTTCAAAGCATCAACAATTTTAGGTTCCTGCTTAGCTAATGTAGGAGAGGGCATCTGCCTTCTACTCCCTGCTCCATGAGAGAAGGACACAACTATTTATTTACAATTAAAATATTAAACAATTCCTTTTCGCCTATCTACACTTCTCAGTCTCAGTAGGAAAGATGTTCCTTTCCTACCATAGAAACAGCTGGAGGAGGTTGTGGGGTCAGAAGCCATAGGGTTGTCTCTGTGAGAAACAAAGGCATGGAAAATGTCACAGAAAGTTTGGCAGTCACAGTCCCCACCTGAGCCACAACAGTGGCAGCAATAAAGGTGTTCACACAAGCTCCAGTTTTCACTTGTGTGTTGATCCTATAGCAGCGACCCAAGTTAAAACCTTTGTGTGAAAAACACTTCTGTGCCCCAGCTTAAGATTACACGGACTAGCTGCAAGCTCAGGACCAAGATCTCTACTCATTAACCCCCTCTAGCAGAGAGAGGGTCTTTGTCTTGCTGTGTCAAACAATCCTGCTTGAATCTGAGGAAACTGATGCAGGCTTCACAAAGAGCTACACAGATCTCCTCCTGCTCCCTATATGCATGCTGACAGCTGAATGTGGTGCACAGATATCCTCGAATTCCAAAACCTAAGGTCCCTACCATGAGCTGATCCCTATTACTGGGCCAGATGGCCAGCTTTCCTCATCCTCAATTCCCCTTGTTTTCTGACAGCTTTTAGTAGGTCAGGTGCCAGATAATATTTCTGCAATGTGCCAGGCCTGCCTTGACAACAGCAGTGTCCAGTAGAAGCCAAGCACTTACGGATCTGACCCTTACACTCAGATGCCTAAGTGGAAGTTGGGCTCCCTAGAAAACAAAATGAGCTGTGCTTTAAAAACATTCAGCAGGACCTTAGTTGTAAGAAATCAGCTGTTGTTTTTTGATTCTATTTCCTGGCTACTGAACTAAGAAACAAGGTATGTGGATGTGGCAGCTGCATGATACTTTCTCCATTTAATTTGAACTAAGAGGATAAAACTAAGCCACAAGTGAAACAGGCTATGAAATGGATATGTATTAATTACAATTATTTTCCCAATTTCCATCTTGCTTCTCATGTATAATAATTTTCCTCTGCCATATAAACCTTAAGGGAGCCCATTCTCAACAGCTGCTGACTTTTACCTGGCAGCCTGCCTGTAGTGCAATGCTCTTCTGTGTTGCTACCAGGCAGTGAAATCAGATCAAGTGGGAATGGAAAGCAGCATGGAGAAGAGAGTTCTGCAAGATAATAGCTAAACACACAGACTTAAGGCAAGGTTTGTGAGGAGCTGTCTTTCTGAAGATGAAGCAAAGGTTTATGTGGTTTTAAAATTAATTATGCAATCCATATCTGTCTGAAGTTACATTTTTCTTTTGTGCCAGAGGTAAAAAAAAGGGTATGTTAGGGAATTTGATAAAAGATGTCTAAAAACTGCTTTGTTTTGTCATTAAGGTCTACAAAATTTTAAATGTTTGCTGTAGTATAAAATGTCTCTATTAAAAAGACCCAAAACAAACCAACAAAAATTACCTTAAACAATACTGCTGCTAACAATGGTACCAGCTTTCTGCCTTTTGCTGTCTACTCTTAGAATCTCAGAGCTAAATGTGCACTGAATGATCAGAGATGATATAGATAATTTGCATTTAATTCCTTGTGTCATAGCCTTTTGCTAGAATAAAACTAGGGACCCTGGATGCTGCAGGGCACACTGCATACATTGCGAGAGGCAATTTCTGCCTTAGTGGATCCTCAGCTGAAAAATGTAAGAGATAGGAAGGAATCTGTTTTTCTCATGTAGCATATTAGCCTGGTTTTCCTGTCATGAATAATTGGCATTTTATAGTCTACAGAGGACCTTGTTCACTCAGTCTTCCTGGTAGGGTGGCCTGAACCAGAACCTAATAAAGTCGCCCATCCCTGCCCTCCCTTAATCCTAATTCATCACCTTTAGTGGGTTCCTCATCTATCCCCAGACACAGCTGCTTATTAATACAGAGTGTGACCCCCCTACTCATTTTCCCCACTTGCCCTTCCTAAAGAGCCTGTGTCCTTCCATTCCAACACTGCAGTGTCACAAGGCATCCCACCACTTTGCCACGATGCCAGTAAGATCACAACCCTGCAGGTGAGTGTAAGTCTCTAACTCCTTTTGTCCATTGCCCATATCTGTGCAGAGGCAGTTGAGTTGGGCTCTTATGAAGCCCAAATACTGGCTGGAGTGGCTGGGATTCCTTTGTGCTGCTATTCAGGGGCTTTCCTGCTGACCTGTGATCCCCTTCTGGGCATCTGTTGCAAGCCCTGGCTTTAAACTCATAGGATTGGGATGGGTTGAGGTTCTCCTCCCCCAGCAACATTAATTAAAGCCCTCACCAAGTTGGCAAGCATGTTGGCGAAGATGCTCTTCCCCTCCCTGCTGGCGAGTCCACAGACCCCACCAGACCCTAGCAGACTGGGTTTCTCAAAGCAAGTCCTACATCTAAACTGAACCCCTGGCTGTGGCACCAGTCCTGTAACCAAATTTAATGGTTTGCCAAATTCAACAGGTTGGTGCTTTCAAACCCCCTTCTCGTTGCCTGGAAAGACTTGTGAAAAAACTACCTGTGCTTCAGAAGATGATTAAGAGACCAGAGCATCTCTCTTGTGAGGAAAGGCTGAGGGAGCTGGGCCTGCTCAGTGTTGAGAAGAGACGGCTGAGAGGGCACCGCATCAAGGTCTGTCAGTGTCTGCAGGGAGGGGTCAGAAGATGGACTGGGTTCCTCTCAGGGGTATGCAGCAATGGGACAAGAGGTAAAAGGCAGAAACTGATGCCCAGGAAGATCCACCAAAATGTAAGGAAGAAACGTCTTTGTGTTGATGTGAGTGACAGTGCACTGGAACAGGTTTCCCAGAGAGACTGGAGAGTCTCCCTCACTGGAGATATTTCAGAACTGTCTGGACACGATCCTGTGCAATGTTCTCTAGGATGACCCTGCAACAGGGGTTTAGACTGGATGACCCACTGTGGGCCCTTCCAAGCTTACCCGCTCTGTGACTGTGCTAGGCCCTGTCCTCTCAGGAATTCAGAAATATAGGCCATGTCTTATCAGGCGCAAACAGTACTAGCCTAAGCAGGAACTAGGCAAAACTAGAACTGCTACTGTTGCACTCTTGCCGGAACAAGTGGGGTGACCACAACTCAGTCACTGCAGGCTGTGATTGTAGACCCTGTGAGCCCAGGGAGCTCTCCCGTATCGCATAGTGGTGATCTCCCTGTGAGCAAGGACATACCTCAAGATTACTTCCTGAGAATCAGAGACCCCCTTACCCAGCATCTGGTATCTATAACGAAGTAAGAATATTTTGCATTAAGCCTAAAACTATATTGTATGTTAGTGACATTTATATGCCCAGCTATAGCTTTAGGTTTAGAAGTGTAATATGTAGGAAAGTGTAATCATTATTTAATGGCCAGTCTTCACGAGTGAAGATCCGGGGAAGGTCTTTACACCTTCCAGCCTGCGCATTGGATTTTTTAGGTGAGACACAGTGTGCGCGGAACTGAGCCCACCCTTTAATCCTAAGGTTCATTTGCCGGGGCCAAGCGAGCTTGGACGGTGGCAGCGAGGTCCTCAGGATGTAGATGGGTTGCCTTTAAGGGCTAACGAGCCCCACCTGCCCAGGAGTGGCCCTGATCGGGAATCGAACCCGGGTCTCGGCGGTGATAGCGCCGCGCCTTTACCACTAGACCACCAGGGGCTCCCAATCATTATTTAAATCATTGTTGAAATCATCCAACTACATCATTGTTCAATTACCATTTTATTAGACCTTGTTATTATTGTTAAATCATTGTTAAACTGTAGTTAAATTATCATTCAGTTATTGCTTAATCACCATTTATAATTTCAATATCATTAAATAATTAATTACTATTTGAATATCATCTAATCATTAATAAAACCCTTTTATTATCCCCACAATGATGACTTCTCTTAAAAATTCACCTGCAGCAGTAGAGCTGTGGGTGTATAAATGGGAGAAAGGGGAAGAGGAAATAGATGTGGTGATGGCTGCTAATACAAAAGATGTGGCAGCTTTACTGTTGTTCGTTTATGACTGTAAAGAATAAAGCACAGTAATAAGGAAATGCTTTGTGAGCAAAGGCCTTTGATGATAAGGCTGTAAGTTTCCAGTTGGGACAGGTCCATGTAACAATCAAAATGCAAAACTGTACCAGGCAACAACCAAAATATTGTGACTCTGACCTTTGTTTGAAAGAAAAAATGCTTAGTCATATTGACAAAAAACATTCCTCTTTTAAGAGACACTCTCCACTACTGTTAAACTACCAAGTTTTCCTCTGTAGTTTCCACCTCTGCCTGAGGAATACAGTCTTCCTCCCCTCCCCCTGCAGTGTATGAAACAGACTATTTATCCTGCATAGGAAAGCCTGGTAAACGGGATGCCCTGGTTCTCTGGGATACTGGTGATCTGCTTGAGCCCCAAGGGAAGAAGATGGGATAAATGCAGTAGCTGAAAAATAATCTGTGGTATAATTAGTGTTACCCTTGTTGGACTGACAAGCAAGCAGCAGATTTCACTTGTACAGGAGGGTGTTTATCCTGGCTTTTGTGCTTGCAATTGCTTGCTGAATCTGATGTGCCTCTGTGAAATGATTTTCTCAGCGACTGTATGAGAGCAAGCCAGCCTATGAATCTGCAGTGTACATGGGTATAGTTTAATGTTTTGCTGCACCATCAGCACCTGCAAATTTCCTAAACAGCCTCTGACTTTAAATGTCAGTGATTTCCACCATCAGGTTTCTTAGGTGCTCCTCATTCCCATCGGGAGAGCTGCCAGGTAGCACAAGGTGACCCTTAAAGCACTGGGATTAATAGCAGTTACCTCAGTGGTGATGGTCAAAGAGGAGAGGGCGGTAGATAAGAAAAGCTGATCCCACCTCCACTCTGCCCTCCTTGCCAGGCAGGACACGGAAATGGCACTTCAGTGTGCCCAGTCCTCAGCTTCCTTGCCCGGGCTTTTGACCAGAGAAGTTCTGGCCACGATTCTGGCTCAGCTTAGGGTTTGGGTGGCACTAAGCAGGGGGCTGGAGCCGGCTGGGTTTATTCCTCTCTCCTTAAGAGTTCTACCAACCGTCCCTAACGGAAGGGCCATTTATTTAGGCCCAGTCAGGGTCTGACCACCTGCCCTCCTGCTCGTCACCATGCATAGTCACATCCTCAGAGCAAGCACAAACACATCTCCTCGATCATTGGACGCCTCTCCCTGCCCCGCCGGCTCCGGTGCCGCAGCCGCCGCAGCCCAGCCCCACCGGTTCCCGCAGATCACACCCTTCCCCGCTGCTCATAAGCCGGTAACTTCGTGGGCCCCCCCTTTCCCTGTTCCCCCCAGCCCCGGTGCGGCCGCCCTTTTTTCCCCGAAAGCCAAACCCCCACGACAGCCCGATCCTGGCATGGGGATTTACCCAATCCGCGGGGCAGCCCGGCACCGCCGCTCCCGCCTCCCTCCCGCTCGCAGCTCCGCTCCCGCCGCTATCTTGGCACTCGGCTTGTGGCTCACTTCTCTTCCGCGAATTTCTCTCCTCCCTCTCGGGCGGTGAGGGTGGGATTAAAGGCATCAAAGACCAAACATGTGACTCCGCCGGCACAGGGATGCTTAAAGGAGGGGAAGGGGAGATGGCCGCAAGGGGGGTAGCCGAAAACCGGGGAGGGGACTGGCCCAGTGAAAACAGGTTCAGTAGCAAAAGGCGAGTTGCCCGAGCCTCAGGAGGATGCCCCGGGAGGATGCCCCGGGAGGATGCCCCGAGGTGGAGCCGGCAGCTCAGCCGAAGCTGCTCATTCCTGCTCGGCGGTCCCCGAATGCTCCGTCGGGATCGGCGGGACTCCCGCACGGGCAGAGCAGCTCCCGCAGCCCGTCCCCAGCCAGGGATAATCTCTGCCAAGTGTCAACCTCTGTCCCCTCTGCCGGGAGTCCCCGACGGCTGCTGCATCGCCCTCCCCGGCCGGGACCTGGTGGATGCTCGGGACCCCCCGCCTCACTCCGGGACGGGGAGGATCACCGAGACCCCACAAAGTTCGAGTGGAAAGTCAGTGTTACGAGTCACCAGCTGGTTCTTTATGTGTGTGTCAAGTGTCATAGGTGGAAACACAAAACTTTCACTGTCTCAGTCTGTAACCTCCCCACAGGTCAAGTGGGGGAGGCTCGTTAGCTACACCAACATTTGTGTCAGGCTGTTCACGATTCAAAGATTTTACCAAACTGACCCCAAACTGCCTCTGATGTGATCATTTCCCCTCCCCACCCCGCCCTCCTCCTCTCCGTGTTCCACTTCCCTGTTCTACACACACTTTTCAGCCCTGTGACCGTAATACCTAATTAACCACAGTTACCTGAAATATGCCTCAGAGAAAGTTTTCTGTCTTTCATTGTAAAAACACCTAAGTTTTGTGCCTGCAGCTCCAGAAAACACAAGTGCGTGTATTTGGGCTAAACTATTTTCAGGCTCTGACCTCTCTTAGGTCTGAGACAGATTTGTGGGGAAAAGAAAAAAAAAAAAACAACACAAAAACCAACCAGCAAGAGAAAAGATCCCTTAGGCTGTTTCAGTAAAACACCATGTTCTGTTAAGCACAGCTAGAATTTTTCTAGTGCCCAGTTCTGTAATCAGAAGGTTCCAGCATGAGCTACGTTTTTAATTTTAGCATAGCAATTTCTATCATCCTTTCTAATAAACATTACGAGAAAGGA